AAAGCCCAAAATAAAAGCCCATGTATCATAGATGACGCTGCATCAGTCTCCTCGGGTAAGAGAAGATTCGTCCTCGAATCTTGCGACGTTCGATCTTGAAGATGCGCTGCATCAGTCCCTCCAGGTTAGAAAGATTCGACCCGAATCTTAAATCGTTGAACATATCCTTTGTCCACCAATTCATAATACTTGCGCATAAGAACTTCATGGCCTTTCTTTTTCCGCCTCAAGTGCAACTTGTTAAGACTTCCTTCATAAAGAGCCTTCGTCAAAACAATTAGGCCATCCAAGTTTCCTTGAACACATGTGACCAAAAGACCCTCGTTTTCATTGTATAAACTCCTCATCTCATAGATCTTGTATATCCATCCAATTGTCGTAGGCCACATATGCAAACGAGTACGTTTATCTCTAAAAGATAAGTTCAATGTGTCACCATGCCTTATCTCAAAAACTCTTTGCGGAAATATGAAGACGCTGATCTCAATTTTTGGTGAAAATGATGCCTTTTGATATTCATGAGGAGGAAGGCCATCATTTGCAAATAAAATGCATACGAAATCGCATGGGTCAAACACCACGTCGCGCCTCTTAACGTTTGATGATTTGTACCTTGTGTGAGGATGAAATGCTGAATGCATATCCAAGCTGGAATCAAATAACTTCCACCTAACATCAACTGCATTTGTCTTCTTCTTTAAGACTCCGTGTGTGATCTTCGGTAGAGTAAGAGGCGATGAGTTAATACCCAAGCGGAGAGCATGTAACTTCCACATCAACGAACCAACAAGCGCATTTGTGGTCTCCTTACCTACCAAGAAACGAACATTTGTAGAGAAACAAGGCACTACTAAGCTTAACTTTCCACAAGTCAACAGCTTTCTTGATTCGTAAGCAAAGTCACTCCAACAAATAAATGTCGTGAATATGTAATTGGAATCCAAGCGTAGTTGACGAACAACTCTGTTTACCCATGTAGAAGCTTCACACAATGTTAGCTCTTCGTCGATGATGTCTTGGAGGTGGATCTTAGACACGTCACCAACAGCAAGTACTACCTCAAGAGAACCCACAACAACTAAAAAGCAACTCTTTTTGCTGCAACTGTGATCTTTGAACACTACTCCAGTATCTTTCTCAATGAGACAAAACATGATACTATTCCATCTAAGACATGTTCGCAGTCCAATGAATAAATCTTGCAATAAAGAGTCAATTTGCACTTTGTCAAGCCCCACTAAAAAGCTCACTTGAATCTGGAATGCTGCCATTTGTATGCGCCTTTCCACCATTAAAATTTCTTGTAACCATTTAGCCGTGTAAACATTAGCGACCTCCCACAAGATTTGCGTGTAATCAACGACAAAACCTTTCAAGTAACTTCTCCCAATATATGCTCTGTCACGCACATCGAAGTCAAAGGGCATTAAGAATAACTGAAACACCTTTCCTCCTTCACAAGTTTTTGTCACTAGTGCACACATACGGAGATGGAGACACATGGAATTGGTGGCCAAATAAAATGCTCCGAGAACCTCACGTGATAATAGCATCATAATTATGCTACATTCAACACAAAAGTCCACTGGCTGCATCTTCTTTATATCCAATTCTCCAATGGAAAAGAAAAAATCAACGTGCTTTATGGTATCTACGTTTTCGCCAAACACGTCAAGTTGATGCCATGGATTTTTCATTGGAATTTTGTTTCCATAAACCCAATTCATAAACTTCATCCTTGAGCTAAACACGTAGATTCTTTCATCTTGTTGATTAGATATGTAGCTCACGTGAAAATCCTCTCTAGTTGAGCCACAGTGACGAAAAGATACGAGGGGTTTTGCAAACTCAATTACTTCACCTTCTAGTATCTCTCCGTATAAATCATTACAACAATGATTTTCTCTTTTATAGATATTAGAAACACGAGTACCAGAGATCTTGTTATAGAGATCTAACTCACCGTGAAAAAATAAAATCACGCTTCGACCACGATCTGGAGGTTCGCCATTGATTTTCTGATGACGATGTGCAAGATAAATAGAATACTTATGGGTTTCCTTATCCATATATGAATCTTCTTCCTCCTTGTCAAAAATAGTGATGACTAGTTCATATTTAATTGTTGAAAGTCTTGAGTATTCCACCACTTGATTCCTGATGACATCTATGTTGTTGACGTCTTCTAAACAACCATCATGAACCGGAGAAAAGCCATTAGAGAAGACAACTATGGGATTAACATTATCAACTAGATCGCCCACTTTTGTAACATCAAAACTAGAGCCTTCGTCTTGACGTGGATCATCCTGTGAATCACAATCTTCAAAAATAGCTGCAAAAACATTTGAAACATTGATTCTACTTGCCAAGGTGCTGTCTTCATCGTTCACGTCTGTGTTGACAAAATCATCGCCGGTTTCAATATAGACAATGATGTCATCATTTTCCAAGTCCATAACATCATCTTCTTTGGCTTCCACGTCGTCATTGTCTGCCACATCAACAACATCACCGTCTTCGTTATCTTTGATATCGAAATTCAAATCCTCCACTTTTGGACCTTTTACTTCTTGAACAAACAATTTGTTGTCTTCGTTTTGAATTAGATCATCATACGCATCACGATCTATATCATCTTCAACATCAAATATTGAAGCATCATCACCGTGGGGTTTCGTAGTAATTAACTCATTATCATCAATACCATAAGCAGGCTTCTCCACGAAGTCGTTGACTTGAACGTGACAATCCTCCACATAATCATCTACAAATCGTGTTCTTTGTTTCAAATTTTGCAAACGACGACTATACACCAAACTACCGTAGTGAGGAGGTAAAAAGGTTGCGCATAGCTTCTGCTTTAGTTTAGTCCAGGATTTAATAGGACTCTTACCAGCTTGCTTGCGTTTTGTCTTCACTTGATGCCACCATGATGCTGCGTGTCCTCGAAATTTCTTAACCACGAGCGAAACCAATTGATTTTCTAAAACGCTTTGAAACTCCAAAATTTCTTCAACATCCACGAGCCAATCTAGGAACGAATCACTAGAAATTCCACCGTGGAACTTGGGAATATCCACCTTAAAATTGTTCTCCCATCTCATGTCTTTCAACGACATCGTTGTAAGGGAATCAAACCACCAGGAACGAGATGAATCTGATACCAACTGATAGAGAGCGGAAGCTAAATAACAGACGAGAACTCGGATTCACGAACGGATCTTACTTAGAACGTCGAAACTTGACGAAGAAGCAATAGGGATAGGGTCGAGATCGGTTCCAGGGAACGATATCGACGGGGTTTTGCAAGTCCTCCTTGCAGGGCTTGAACACAAGCTCTTAGGGTTGAGAGTCCTCCTCTCTAGGCTTTACACAAAGCTCTCTTAAAACTCGTTTAGTCAATAATCCAAAGCTCCCCTTCTTAACGCATAATCTAAGCCTTATATAAGGCGTTCATAAACAAAAACCCTAATCTAAAAACATAAACATATTTACTAATTAAAAGCCCAAAATAAAAGCCCATGTATCATAGATGACGCTGCATCAGTCTCCTCGGGTAAGAGAAGATTCGTCCTCGAATCTTGCGACGTTCGATCTTGAAGATGCGCTGCATCAATTCTTCATTTAGTAAAAATAACATCTTTATATATATTTTATGGAAATTCCCTTGAGTCGACATAATTTTTACTGTTATATGTTCTTAGAAAAGCGTTGATGGACATTGTTCTCGTGCTCGTGGTGATGGACAACGAAAACTTGTTAAAAGTTTCAAATACTTGTGAAAGGAAAATTTTTGAATTTTTTTGTAAACTTTCACAAAGTTTTCAAAATTTTAACAAGTTTTCCCATAAAAAAATAACAAGGAAAATCATTGTTGATAGATATCATACGTTGTTTTCAGAATATATTTTCAAGCATATAATCGGAATTGTTAACAAAAAATATGATTTTAATAATATAACAGTTTATTTAGCAAGGTTTTCAAAAATTTCGTAAGGTTTTAAAATTTTCACAATCTGTAAATCACACACACAAGCTTTCGAAAACTTCCATAAATTTTTTTTTGGAAACTATGATGTGTTTAAACATTATTCATCATTCTTCATTGCCGATAACCAATTTATTTTAACATATTTAAACTCTAAATAGTGAAATGTAAGTTCTTTTTTTTTGATAACCGAGTGTCCTGGCCCCACCGAGGTGGTTCAGACTAGAGACCGAACCCTTACGGCACGGACGCACACCCGAGGGTGGGTCATGGCCAGGTAACGGTCTTCGGTCTCGGGCGCCAGAGCAAGTCCGCATGTAAATTCCCTGGTGGCCACTAGTATGTAGCAAGGGGGAATCGAACCCGGGCGTATTGGGATTACCCCCTCAACCACGAAATCCGTCCTACCACTAGCCCACCTTGTAGTGGTTGTGAAATGTAAGTTCTAATCCAAAATTCCAAATAACTCTGACAGGCCAGCAAAATTCCAAATACTTTAGTAAATATTCACCTACAAAATTAATTTCAAATGGGAAACAATAATCTCACGGGCCAACATAATTCTCAGTACAGAATCTTGTCTGTCTCCTAACGAATTTTTCTCTGAAGAGAGACTGAAAAAGATGATTAGCTCTGTAAATGTGATTAATTAAGGCCATGAAAATAAAGCTAAGATTATTAGTTACTAATCATATTTAATTTTAAGATTAAAACATATAGTTTTAATCAAAAAGTTTGTTAGAGGCGCGCCTAATGGAGCGTACAATTTTGTCTTAAAAAAAAGTTTAAACCACCAAAAAAAAAGAATAATAAAATTTTGAAATAAAAGACGAAGCCACATGCCTTGAACCAAAGTTACCGTTGTCTTAATATAAACCAAACTTAGAAGTAAATCGTTTCTCTCATGATCCAACGGTTATATTTTAATCCTAGCCGTTCTTTTTAAAATTTTTGTTTGTATCTTCCTCTTTTGCTTATTTCATCTCCTTCTTCAGATTCGTCTGTATCAGACTTAGATTCTCTTCGTTTAATGCTCTTCTTCTAGTGGGTTTCTCTTGGAAGAGTCAAAAACGAAGAAAAATGGTTAATTCATGTGAGAACATAATCTTCGTTAAACCCACTTCATCGACGATTCTTCAAGGTAGTAGTAGAATTTGAGAATTTGAGGTCATAGGTATATACCAATGGAGAGATTCTGACAGAATGCGTTGTGTTCTTTTTTGGTTTTGTTTTAGATGAAACAAGAAGTAGAAAATTCGGACAAGATGTGAAGAAAGAGAAGAGAAGAGTGTTGGGTGTGATTAATCAGAATCTTGTTGGTGCAAAAGTTTATCCTTGTGTTGTCAACAAGAGAGGAAGCTTATTATTATCTAAGTAAATTTTAACTAAATTCTCCAATCTCTCAAGTTAGTGTTTTTCAATTTGATTGTCCTTATGTGTTTTGAATTATTTGGATCAGTAAGCAAGAAGAAGAAGGATGTCAAAAGAAGAAGTTTGATTCTTTGCGTCCTTCAATTACAAGGTACATAAAGCTTGAATCTTTTAATTTCGTTTTTTGATTTGAAAGAAAGAAAGATCTGAGATTGTTTTGTGTATGTAGATCTGGAGTTGAAGAGGAGACTAAGAAGAAGCTGAAGCCATCAGTTCCTAGTGCAAATGATTTTGGTGACTGTATATTTGTTGATGAAGAGGAAGCTACATTGGACAATCCGATGCCAATGTCGCTTGAGAGGCCGTACACAAGCATCATTGAAGCTGACCCAATGGTAAACAAGAACACTAAGAATACTGAATTTTTGTTGATGAATTCGATTCATAAATCAAATGATTTAAAGGACAATTTTAATTGGATAGGAGGAAGTTGAGATGGAGGATGTAACTGTGGAAGAACCGATCTTTGATATCGATGTCTCAGATGCGAAGAACTCACTTGCAGCTGTTGAGTATGTCCACGATCTTTACGCATTTTACCGAACAATGGAGGTAAATAATGGTTTACTTTATCTGTGTTTTGAAGTAATAAGTGACTTGAGAACTTCTTTAAAACAGTTCTTGATTTGAATTTGCAGAGCTTTAGTTGTGTTCCAGTAGATTATATGATGCAACAAATCGATTTAAACGAGAAGATGAGAGCAATACTAATCGACTGGTTAATCGAGGTATATTATCCACAACATTCCACGGTCATCACTACATTGTTGTATTGTGTAGTTTGATAGAGGCTAAAGGTGCTTAAGTAAATTTCAGGTACATGACAAGTTTGATCTGATGAACGAGACATTGTATCTGACAGTCAATCTGATAGATAGATTCTTGGCCAAGCAATCTGTTATGAGAAAGAAGCTTCAGCTTGTAGGGTTAGTTGCTTTGCTCTTAGCTTGCAAGTACGAAGAGGTTTCGGTTCCTGTTGTCGAAGATTTAGTACTCATTTCAGACAAAGCTTATACGAGGAACGATGTTCTAGAGATGGTAAAGGGTGGCTTTTTACAAAGAAGAAAGAAATCTTGTCTCATTTATGTTAAGACATTCTCTAATTGAATGATTTCTTTCCTCTCTACAGGAGAAAACAATGTTGAGTACTTTGCAATTCAATATCTCATTGCCAACACAATACCCTTTCTTGAACAGATTCCTCAAGGCAGCTCAAGCAGACAAGAAGGTATGTCAAAACACAATGGTCTCATGAACCTTTTAACTAGAATTTTGAATTTAGAAAGGAACTAACTGTGAACTGAAACAAAACAGTGTGAGGTGTTGGCATCGTTCTTGATCGAGCTTGCGCTTGTGGAGTATGAGATGCTTCGGTTTCCACCATCATTACTAGCTGCCACATCTGTGTACACTGCTCAATGTACACTTCATGGTTTCAGGCAATGGAACAGTACATGTGAATTCTATTGTCATTACTCTGAAGATCAGCTCATGTAAGTCTCTCTCTCTCAAGTACACAAAAACTGATCCTTATTTATCCATAAACACAAAAGGGTATTGAAAAAACACAAGTATTTTAACCAACACTGATCTCTTTAGTCCATAACACAAACTTTTACTGAGAATATACTGATCTTTTCAACGAAATGTCATTGCGGGTTTCGCAGGGAATGTTCGCGGAAGCTGGTGAGTCTTCATCAAAAGGCGGCGACAGGAAACTTGACAGGAGTATATAGGAAGTACAACACATCTAAATTTGGGTACATAGCAAAATGTGAAGCTGCACACTTTCTATCGTCTGAGTCACATCATCCTTAAGCCAATAGAACAACAAGTAATTTGTACAGCTTCCTGACATAGTTCCTCATTCACTCTGTAGCACAAATAAGAAGAAAAAAAAAGCCAATTAAATTTGTCTTATGATTGATTCTGATTTTTTGTACCAACTTTTATTGTAACTCTCTTTGTATCCTAATTTGAGCTACCTACAAAAACAGCGTCGTTTTCGTTTTTAACTTTTTATAAACTTTGACCTTTTTAAGATCTCTCTCCCACCAACTCTCTTCACACTTCACTATACTTACAGAGTTTTGAGATTCCTCAAGATCAACGATAATGGCGGCGTCAACGAACTCATTCCTCATCGGAAACCAAACCCAAATCCCTTCCTTGAAACCCAAATCAATTTCCCAATCCTTTATCCACTTCTCCAAACCTAACACCATCAACCTTACCACCAGAACCAAATCCGTTTCAATCCGATGCGCTTCCGCTTCAACCACCGTAGGATTCGAGCAACGAGTCTTCAATTTCGCCGCCGGTCCAGCTGCATTACCGGAAAACGTCCTCCTTAAAGCTCAATCAGATCTCTATAACTGGCGTGGATCTGGTATGAGTGTTATGGAGATGAGTCACCGTGGTAAAGAGTTTCTCTCAATCATTCAAAAAGCTGAATCTGATCTCCGTCAGCTTCTCGAGATTCCATCGGAATATTCCGTTTTGTTCTTACAAGGCGGTGCCACTACTCAATTCGCTGCTTTACCTCTAAATCTCTGCAAATCTGATGATTCTGTTGATTACATTGTTACTGGATCTTGGGGAGATAAAGCTTTTAAGGAAGCGAAGAAATATTGTAACCCTAAAATGATTTGGTCTGGTAAATCTGAGAAATATACTAAAGTTCCATCTTTTGATGGATTGGAGCAGACTTCGCACGCCAAGTATTTGCATATATGCGCCAATGAGACTATTCATGGTGTTGAATTTAAAGATTATCCTGTTGTTAAAAACCCTGATGGTATTTTAATCGCTGATATGTCTTCGAATTTCTGTTCCAAGCCTGTGGATGTATCGAAATTCGGTGTGATTTACGCGGGTGCACAGAAGAATGTTGGTCCTTCTGGTGTCACCATTGTGATCATTCGAAAAGATTTGATTGGGAATGCTCGTGATATAACTCCGGTGATGCTTGATTACAAGATTCATGATGAGAACAGCTCGTTGTATAATACGCCACCGTGTTTCGGGATTTACATGTGTGGTCTTGTGTTTGATGATTTGTTGGAGCAAGGTGGGTTGAAGGAAGTGGAGAAGAAGAACCAGAGGAAAGCTGAGTTGTTGTACAATGCCATTGATGAGAGCAAAGGGTTTTTCAGGTGTCCTGTTGAGACATCTGTGAGGTCTTTGATGAATGTTCCTTTCACGTTGGAGAAATCGGAATTGGAAGCTGAGTTTATTAAAGAAGCTGCTAAGGAGAAGATGGTGCAGCTTAAGGGACATAGATCAGTGGGAGGTATGAGAGCTTCTATTTACAATGCAATGCCTTTGGCTGGTGTCGAAAAGCTTGTTGCTTTCATGAAAGATTTTCAGGCAAGGCATGCTTGATTCTTTTTTGCTTTCTGGCCATCATGTTGTGTATTATTAAGTAAGCTTTTATGCTTATGTGATTTTGAGTTTTTGTTTCTTCTTCATCTACTTGAATTCCAATTGTCTGCGGATTTTTTTCAGTAATAATAATTTGAGATGCTAGATTTCATTTTTAAGAAAGAATCATTTACACTTTTATGTTTGTCTGAGATTGGAGTTGAGACCGGGGAAGATGAACTGAAAACTTCCAGTGATCAAAATCTTTTATTAAACAACTTATTTGAGAAAATGCTGAGATTAGCTTATGATGATAAGCAAATCGCATACAAGGATTAGCTAATGATGATAAGCAAATTGCATACATGGATCTCATGTTGTGCGGTTAGTGTGTTCTTTCTCTGTATCTCCTGCTGAAACCGACGGTCCTGGTTTCAAGAAATGAAAAATAGGTTATTCAGGTTCAAAATCCCAACTAAACTGCTAAAATCAAATTCTTCATATCAGAATTTAAGTTACCGTTAGATTGTGGCCCTTTGTAACCATCAGCTACATGTCGAAAGAACTCTTTCGTAGCATCTGCATATTCGTTCAAGAACATTCACTAATAAACCCGAGCGAGACAGATACACAGAGCCAGAAGTATACAAGAGTCTGCAAACTCACCGTGTTTCATTGCTAACGACGGGTCTTGCTCTTCCATGACCCTGATCAGTTTTGCAGGATTTCCAGCGACCACACTTCAAAAAGACAAAGAAGATTACTAAACAAATATTCAGAGATTTTCAAACAGACCCAAGTCATGACGATCTTTCACATGTATTTTCGCTTTTATACCTATGCGAAGGAACATCCTTTAACACAAGTGAACCAGCAGCTACCATTGCCCCAGCACCTATACTAATGTTGCCAAGTATAGTCACACAGGCTCCAAGCAATGCACCTTCACCTATTTTTGGGTGACGATCGCCAGTTTCCTTCCCGGTTCCTCCTAAAGTCACCCCCTGTGACAGTGAAAACTCAAGTACCCTTGCTAAAACTGAAAGAAAAAATCATGATCTCGGCATTGAATCTCCAGGCAGTGGTTTGGAGAAGAGATGCTTACATGTAAGATCGAGACACCGTTGCCTATCACAGCGGTCTCACCGATGACCACTCCAGTTCCATGATCCAACAATATTCCCTCCCCAATTCTTGCCGCTAAGCAGAAAGAGAATTCAAGCAATATGTATAACCAGCAATCAATTCACCGGTAAACCTGATCAACTAATACACCAGAGAAGGGAAATTGAGAATGTTCAAAAAGATGAGAGCAGAGATATGAAGCTCAAACTCTACCTGGATGAATGTCAATTCCAAAAACCTGAGAGAAACCACAGCTAGATCAGACATTGAGCTGAAAAATGCAACTCGAGCGAGACTCTAAATTCAGTTAACCAAAGACAATGATCACCATAACTACCTCGCTTATTCGGCTTTGCAATGCAAGAGCTAATAGTTTCCGCCCTTCATTCCACAGTTTATGCGCAACCCTATATGCTTGCAATGCGTGATACCCCTGTAGAACAAAACGTATGCCAGAGGGAAAACCTCTTAAGCCTCACTCATTCTGTGTGGGAGATGTTCTGTCTCTAAAAATTCAACTAAAGATTTACCTTCAGATGTAAAATAGCAGAACTATACGAGAGACAAGCAGGATCACGATCTTTAAATGCCTGAAATAATTGAGACACATAAGAGAACAACAAAGATCATGTCTATCCACAGGTATTAGATGAGTGTTATACCTGAATATCATGGCGAATCGAACTCTGAATATCTTTGTCATGCATCATAACACCATAAAATATATCCAAGAGTTGAGTTGCCAACAAGGTTGGGTTTTGGAGACGGTTGGCTAGAACAAACCCTAAAGCTTGCTCTAAACAGTCATGTGCCAAGATACCAGCATACAAGAAGCTACTCAAAATAGGCTCTTTCTCTGCCTATAACCACAACAAGATTCACCATTGTAAGATTCAACAAATTTACAAACTATATAAAGCCACTAAACACTGTACTCAATCAAACAACCTTCAAAGTGTATCCATGTGTGATAATGATCAATGGAGCGATTGAACATTCAACGAGAGATACAATAATGACTAATTCTTAACCCTAATGGATACAGTTACTACTATATAACAACTGTGGATTAACATGGAGACACAAAACCATAACTTTTTGTCTGAATAAGACTTGAGAATCGATGAAGCAGAGAAACTGTTAGAATTTGAGGGTAACCTCAAGTTTAGCCTCTTCTCTTATAGCATCCCAAATAGGATCAGACCGAGAATCAAGCAAATTTGAGTCAAACTCAGACTTATGCGTTCCCTTAGCGTAAACCTCGAAACCCCTTTCGAAAGGAAGCTCATCGCCGTTCATATCTCCAAGAAGACGATGAAGATGAATCACAAACTCTTTTGATTGGACAAAAGAGAGACGGAGAAAGCAAAAAGGAGGCTACTTTAATGGATATGATGCAAAACTTTTGAAAACCCTTCTTATCTTTTTTTTTTTATTAACTTTTAGTGGATTCTCTTGATGGTCGTTGTTGATGTTTGGTTTCTCGTTGATCCTGTGTTGTGTTGTGTCCAGTGTCCACCGCTTTGAATGGTTCTACAAATTCATATCATTTGTATATATTTTTTGTTGGCTTTGGCCTTATCTGGTCGCGACCGTAATTGAGTCCAAGTTCGTAATTGTGATTAGGGTCTCTTAATCAGATAATTGTTTTTTAATCAAGAGGGATCGACTAATGTTTTTTTAAAGATTATTATTATAGTTGAATCTTAATCGTATTCCTCGAGAGGGGGGAAATGAATATTGTACAAGGTAGAGAGACCCACCACAAATGATGCCAACTTGTCGTATGTTTATAGATTATATAAATGTCCCAATTGTACTAAAACTCTTATAAATTTTGATATTCATGTTAACCATTAATAACCTACAAATTTCTAGTATTTACATACTTACATTAGGTTTTTCATTCCACAACCTGAGATTAATTTGGCTTTGTAGTCAAGAACCACCTTCAGCGGCTCGATAACTTTCAAAATCTTAAATAAAATTAGAAAATTTTCTTAAAATACCGTTATTAATTAATAATAAGTGTATATACTATAAGTATATTAATTAGGTCTAGAGGTTGTCCCTGAAGTGTAGTTTATACTATAAGACCATCAGCAATGGTAAACTTGGGTGGATGTGTGTTAGTGGGGTGTAAATATTTTTTTATTATTATAATTAAAGATAGAGAAAAGAGAGAGAGGGGGAGAGATAGAGAGAGATAGAGAGAGATAGAGAGAAATTTTTTTTTTCTATTTTTATAATACCTTACACTTGAGTGTAAACTTGCACTCTTATTTTGTGTCTTAGCCCAAATTTACATTATTTCTCATTTGTTTATAACTTACACCCAAGTGTTGAGTACTCCACTGCGTGTGCTCTAAGTTTTGTTGTAAAAAATACCGTTATTAATTAATTTAATTTACCAAAAGTTGGAAACAAATGGTCACTTGTAATGTTCTCCTACTAGGATATGACCCGCGGTATACCGCGGGTTAATTATTTGATTTTTTTATATTTTTTTATAAACTGATGAATTTGTTGTGTATGATATTTTTTTGTTGTACACCGCTGGTCACATGCGTTGTATATAAAAAATAAAAATTTTAAGTTGTATTTGTTTTGTTTGCTGTTTAAAATTGTATAATTAAATTTTTAATTGTTAAAATTCTAGGATTTCACCCGTGGTATATTGTCCCGTATTAATATCGATCCAAACCCGTCCCACCATAAACTCTTGTCCTGTGGAATTAAACATCATTTTGTTATTTTTTTAATAACACTTTTATTTAAAAGATATATAATTCGAGTCAATTTAAAAGTTTACTTTCAAATGGTTTCCATAATATATATATTTTAAAATTAGTATGTGTTTTCGGACCAACCCGTAAAAAAAATTTATAATTGTATCTTAAAATACTAAATAATTGTATTTTGATTTGTTAATTTTAGGATCTAACCCGTGGTATACTGTCCCGTTTTATATAATTGTAGAAATTAAGAAAAGATCTGAATGACTCAATTTCGGGTCAGAATAAAAAAACGATTTGATTAAATGTGCAATTTTTTCTTATAAAAAATGTTAATATAGATTACGCACATATTTTTTTTCTTCATCAATTGAGTAATATATGTCTGTTTTAAAAAATTTGAATCATAACATATGCAGAAAAAAACCTAAAATTTATTAACTATATATATTTTATAATAATTCAAAATAATATAAATATAAGATCAAATAAAAGTGAAATGAGAATCATATATTTATGTTTAAATTAGGTAGAGAGGTTTTAGGAAATTAGCTCAAATTTGTTATATTATCATTAAATTATCATATTTGATTTCCTAATCTATAAAAATTGTAAAGAATATACCATAAATAAATAGTTTAGATATAGTAATTAGTTGAAAAAATATATTTAATTTAGATTTTATTAGGTATTTTCGTTTTTTAGTTTGCCATAATTTAAGGAAAGATCCGATTGAAGATTTCCGGGTCAAAATCTTTAAAAAACCCGACCCGATTAGAGGAGCAAATTTGTACTTCAAAAATGTTAAGTAGATGAGGCTATCAGTTAAATCATACACGGTTAATAAACGTTAATCACGAGGCATGACTGTCATTAGAGCACGTGAGTTTCCCAGAACAGAATCATCAAACTCGTTTTAATAGTTCTCGTTCAACAGATAAAGTTTCAATTTTTTTGAGAAGTCAGAAGTCGAACAAAATCCAAATCAAAGTGTTAACCATGAGATTCTTGTTATCCAAAAGAGCATTCAAAATCTTCACTCCACGTTTCCAGAGACTGTGGTTGACCTACTCCTCCTTCTCAACGACCTCAGATTCCGGCGATTCCGAGCCGGAATCATGGAGAACTATGGAGGGTCTTCTCCGATCCCCTGCAAATTTCTCTCCTTTATCTCCAATCACGTTCTTGGAACGATCCGCAAAAGTTTACAGAGACAGAACCTCTCTTGTGTTTGGTTCCGTTAAACACTCTTGGTTCCAAACCTATCAACGTTGTCTCCGTCTTGCCTCTGCTCTTACCCATCTCGGAATCACTCCTGGCGATGTGGTAAGTCTCTTAAATTGTTCAGTTTCTTGATCCGATTAGGTTTTCGATTTAGGTTTAGTGATAAAAGAGGATCCTTTTTAGGTTGCAGCTTTGGCACCGAATGTTCCAGCAATGCATGAGCTTCATTTCGCTGTTCCTATGGCTGGTTTGATTCTTTGTCCGCTTAATACTCGACTTGATCCTTCCACATTGTCGGTTTTGCTTGCACATTCGGAGGCGAAAATCCTCTTTGTTGATCATCAGTTACTTGAGATTGCTCATGGAGCTCTTGATCTTCTTGCTAAATCAGATAGAACAAGAAAAAGTCTGAAGCTTGTGTTGATCTCTCAGTCTAATGATGATGGTGATGATAGCTCATCTAGCTTTGCTTCAAAGTACTTGTTCGATTACGAATATGAAACTCTGCTTAAATCCGGGGATAGCGAATTCGAGATAATCAAACCGAGATGCGAATGGGATCCCATTAGTATAAACTACACTTCAGGAACGACTTCGAGACCTAAAGGTGTAGTTTATAGCCATAGAGGAGCTTATCTCAATTCTCTTGCCACAGTCTTTCTTCATCAGATGTCTGTTTATCCAGTCTATTTATGGACAGTGCCGATGTTTCATTGCAACGGATGGTGCCTTATCTGGGGAGTAGCAGCTCAAGGCGGTACTAATATTTGTCTCAGGAAAGTCTCTCCTAAGCTGATCTTTAAGAACATTGCTATGCATAAAGTGACTCACATGGGAGGAGCCCCTACGGTTCTGAACATGATTGTGAACTCTCCTGAGACCGAACATAAACCGCTTCCTCATAGGGTCGAGATCATGACAGGTGGATCACCGCCTCTACCGCAGATCCTGGCTAAGATGGAAGAATTAGGTTTCAATGTGTCTCATCTTTACGGTTTGACAGAGACATATGGTCCAGGGACACATTGCGTGTGGAAACCTGAATGGGATTCTCTTTCGTTGGAGGAGAGAACTAAATTGAAATCTAGACAAGGAGTGCAGCATTTGGGTCTAGAAGGGCTCGATGTGAAAGATCCGGTGACAATGGAGACTGTCCCTGATAATGGTGTAACCATGGGTGAAGTTATGTTCAGAGGAAACACCGTGATGAGTGGATACTTCAAGGACTTAGAGGCAACACGAAAAGCTTTCGAGGGAGATTGGTTCCATAGTGGTGATCTCGCTGTTAAGCATCCGGACGGGTATATAGAAATAAAAGATCGGTTAAAAGATGTGATTATCTCAGGAGGAGAAAACATAAGCTCGGTGGAGGTCGAAAGAGTTTTGTGTAGCCATCAAGCGGTTCTTGAAGCCGCTGTTGTGGCACGTCCGGATAATCATTGGGGACAGACTCCTTGCGGGTTTGTGAAGCTGAAAGACGGGTTTGATACCATCAAACCCGAGGAGATTATCGGGTTCTGTAGAGATCATTTGCCACATTACATGGCTCCAAAGACCATTGTTTTCGGGGACATACCAAAAACCTCGACGGGGAAAGTACAGAAGTATCTTCTGAGGAAGAAAGCTGATGAAATGGGTAGCTTGTGATCGCCATGTAAGAAACAAAAAAGCTTGGTCTCTGGTTCATGTGTGTATATGTATAAGGAAACAAAGATCAGAGAATCATAAAACCACCGCGTGAAAATGAAGAAACAGATCAGCCATGGATATGATTTGGCTATAATTAGATTTGTTACGCGGAAAGGCCAACGATTTTGTACCTCAGAAAGATTTTAAGACATTAAAAAAAGAAAGAAGAAGCCAATAGAATATTCCGCCGTGTCTGAAACGAGTCCATTTCGTAGGAAGATTTCAAAACACAATCTTACTTATCTGTTTTTTTTTTCTCTCTCTTCTTGTTCAATCTCTCCATTATAAATAAGTCTGCATCATGTGTTAGAATCTTTAAACAAAACCATCGACTTATCAAGAAGAAGAAGAAGAAGAAAAGTTTTTCTTTTTGAGAAGATTGTTACTTTCTTGATCGATAATGGCATCGAATGAAGCTGGAAGGGCATTGCCGAAATTCGGGGAATGGGATGTGAATGATCCGGCTACAGCGGATGGATTCACGGTGATATTTAGCAAAGCCGGTGAAGATAAAAAGACTGGCCGTAGTTCGACGAAGACAAATTCTCAGAGGAAACAAGACGGTGACAAACCAGCAGTCAAGAAATGGCTCTGTTTCACTTTTGCTTGATCTTTTTTTTGTGTGTGTAAATTTTAATCCTAAGAGAATTTAGCTTTGAGCCTTATGAGCCCTTTGATAACTTTTATGTTAGAACATTTCATTTCGTTTTAGTCATCTAATAAAACAAATTCTGAGGTTTTTTGTGTCCTAATGATAAATCTCTGCATTTGGTCATTATAGAATCAACAAAATTGTATTTTTGTATTCAAGAATGGCAAAAGTCATAAGAACACAAGCTCTTGAACATCTCATCTTGTTCAAATTCAGACAAAATGTGTACCTTTCTTTATTCTCTCTTGATTTGGTCTGCAAATTACAACTATAAAACAATGCTCTTGTATGTGTTTAATGAGAAAACAAAGAAGATCTTTGAGTTCTTTAGAGAACATTTGCTACATTAGCCAACAAAGATTATTGTTTTTAGGGCTTTGCCCACAAACTTGTACAGAAAGCAAAGAAAAATATGCGTTGAGGTTGAGGTCGGAGAGGCTATCCGACGCACTGACTTTGGGCCGATATTCAAAAGCCCAATAGGCCCAATTTGCTAACGTAAGCAACTAGAGTGCGACTGTGACTACCAGTCTACCATGCGCCGTCTTCTGTCCATTTTCAACACAGAGAAGCAAAAACCTCTGCAAGAACCCTAAAGCTAAAACCTTTTCCGATCAATCGAAAGAGGAAAAAATGGGGAAAGTTCCGTCGTCGTTTCGCGCTATGCCGGCGAACTTATTGGTCAGAAAACCAACACCATCTCCTCCAGCGCCGCCGCGTGACTTTCGCAACAGAACCGCCGTTAGAGATTCAACTAAACTTCCTGAGAATACTCAAACCCCTCGCGAGCCCTCCTTGAGGAATCCTTTCAAGTCACCAAATCTCTCAGACGCTAAAAGCCTCTTCAATTCAATCGCCGCCACTTCAAGAATCCCACTCGATCTCAAATTCCACAACTCTGTTCTTCAATCCTACGCTTCAATCGCCGCCGTTGATGATACGGTGAAGTTGTTTCAGCATATTTTGAAATCTCAGCCTAAGTTCAGGCCGGGACGTTCTACGTTCCTTATCTTGCTTTCACATGCTTGTAGAGCTCCTGATTCATCGATTTCTAATGTTCATAGAGTTCTTAATCTCATGGTGAATACTGGTTTAGAGCCTGATCAAGTAACTACCGATATTGCGGTTCGGTCTCTTTGCGAAACCGGTCGGATTGATGAAGCTAAGGATTTGATGAAGGAGCTAACAGAGAAACATTCCCCTCCGGATACATATACTTATAACTTTCTACTGAAGCATTTGTGCAAATGCAAAGATCTTCATGTTGTTTATGAGTTTGTCGATGAGATGAGGGACGATTTCGATGTGAAGCCGGACCTTGTTAGCTTCACTATCTTGATTGATAATGTCTGTAATTCTAAGAACTTGAGGGAGGCAATGTATCTAGTTAGTAAATTAGGTAATGCTGGGTTTAAGCCGGATTGTTTCCTCTATAACACCATTATGAAAGGTTTTTGCACATTGAGCAAAGGGAGCGAGGCGGTTGGTGTTTATAAGAAAATGAAGGAAGAAGGTGTTGAGCCAGATCAGATTACTTACAATACTTTGATATTTGGATTGTCGAAATCTGGTAGAATTGAGGAAGCTAGGATGTACTTGAAAACTATGGTTGATGCGGGTTATGAGCCGGATACTGCCACTTATACGTCGCTGATGAATGGAATGTGTAGAAAAGGCGAGTCTTTAGGTGCGTTGAGTTTGTTAGAAGAAATGGAAGCTAGAGGGTGTGCGCCAAACGATTGCACTTATAATACTTTGCTTCATGGATTGTGCAAGGCAAGGTTGATGGATAAAGGGATGGAGTTATATGAATTGATGAAATCAAGCGGTGTAAAGCTTGAGACCAATGGTTATGCCACTCTTGTGAGGTCTCTGGTTAAAAGTGGCAAGGTCGCAGAGGCTTATGAAGTGTTTGATTATGCAGTTGATAGCAAGAGTTTGTCAGATGCTTCTGCGTACTCTACACTTGAAACTACCTTAAAATGGTTGAAAAAAGCTAAAGAACAAGGCTTGGTTGTCTAAGTGGTATCCTCTAGCTGAGCTTTTCCGACTTTCTTCTTTGTGCGAGTCCATATTTCATTTTTTGAAGTTGTATTTGCTCCAAAAGCAATGAATTTGATACAAAATATGCTGTTCAATTCTTAAGGAACCAGCAGTGATTTATAATAATAGGTTGTTTATCGACGTTGGTAATATTCTTGTCAGATGAGATCTCTGAAGGGTGCGTTAAACACTCGAACTATCGATTGGGTGCTATTTGTTGCTGTGTTTCTATAAAACAGTTGTTTTCGGTTTCTCTGTTCGTATCAGCTTCTTGCCTTTAGTGTCATGTACTCTTTTCTTATGAACTACTTTGAATACAATACCATAATTGGTTATTGATCTTGCCTTGGGTTGTTGCTTGAGAGATCATGCAAATAATATTTGCTTTGACAAATACACTATCTGTTTGGAGTAAATGAGGCAGAGTATCTGAATAAAGATTGTTTCTCTTGTTGTGGCTGCAGGAAGAGAGTGTTATCTTCATTGAACAATCTTTTCTTATATGTTCTGTTTTAACACTAAGCAGCCAAGTGCAGAGTATTTGTGAATTATCAGTTGAATTACAAACCAAATCATTGAGGGGGGCAAGAAAACAGAGGACAACGTTAATGGAATCATGAAGAAGATTTACAAGTGGTCAACATTCTTGTATTAGTCTATTTCATTGTTTATGACCAAATTACAATCATTTGATGAATAAACTCTTTTGTTTATTTTGATTTCTCTTCTGTCATGTTTCATTATCTATTGTATATTGCTGCAACATCTGTTTCTTTGTCTCCCGCCATAAAACAATAGAACGCTACGGAGAAATATACATATTAGGAAGAAATGTACGTACCGCGAGGTCCACGAATGCAAGATTCACCTACCATTATTGTATAACCTATAGATTCTTCAATCTACCATAGCCTCCAGCTTTTTCTTTCAGTCGTATAAGTTTCTCTGAGCTGTCATGTTCTTGTATATCTCTTACATATCTTTGTATGCCAGAGATGATATGGGAAGCAAGAATAGACAATAATGGAGACACGATAATAAGAATAATCTAAGAGCTTGACGTTGCCGGGTTCGTGAACTAAAAAAGATTAATGTTAAAACATCTTTCTCACGGATTCAACTCTAAAAGACACTTAATTGTGTAATAAAACATAAATTATTGTCTTAGAAAATATTTTGGACCAGTAACAAAGAAATTCTGCAGAATGCAAACGATTATAAAAAATTTAAAAAGATAAATTTTTAGAGTCTACGTCACGTTTACACACTTTCGTGCTGAGGTATGTTTTTCAACTCACAATTCATAACATATAGCGAGAGCGAAATGGACGATTTTTAGAGTCTACGTCACGTTTACACACTTTCGTGCTGAGGTATGTTTTTCAACTCACAATTCATAACATATAGCGAGAGCGAAATGGACGTCGTCATGGCGAAACACCAACTCCTGCGCCCCAACTTACGAAAATTATTGATAAGAATGTCCGAAATCAACTAAGTACTTTGGCAACGATGGGTTCATCCGAATACGAAGGTGACTTGCGCTTCTGGTTTCAAACTCATGCCCAATAATCTCTCTATGTTATAATATCTTCTAAAGTTTACAAACTTTTCAAATTTTTGGCTTTTATGTTGCATTTATTGTAAAACAGTTTTTTTTTGATGAAATTTTTTTACATTCATACAAAAAAAAAAAAAAAATTAGATAACAATGAGAACATCACTTAATTTTTTTTTTTTTTTTTTTTTGTTAACTCAGGGTAAATCCCCAGACCTATGGAGGGGTCTAGGACTAATCCCTGGGGAGAGGGTATCCCACGGGTAAGGTCCCCCAAAGGTTTTCAAATAGGCCGTAAACAATGAGAACATCACTTAATTTAAAATAACAATAAAAGTATTTTCTAAAACATTACTAAGTTTAAAACAATTTATAAGTCATCATATAAATTATGTAATACTTAAAGTAATATTTAAAATAGCTTCTTTTTTTTTGGCTCCACCAACAAAACAATAGCAGCTAAACTATCATATGTAAAACCAAATTTGTTCTATTCAAAATCGTATAGTTTGTTAAAGCCATTTTACTTTGGAACTACTATAGCCTATATATAGGGAACACACCTGACATGCACCGCAGGAAATAACCTTAGAAAATAATGTTTTTGGAGATCTATGCTATATTCAATGTACATAACATGATTGAAAATTCTTTGGAAGCATGCAATATATAATTGGTGACTGCCAATGAGATCTACAAATAATAAAATACAGCTTTTACACGTGTACGTAATGCCGAGGACGTGGACAATTGGTGAAGCCGTTTTTACAAGTCCACGAAAAGGAGACCTGGACCATAAAAAAACAGATTTTACAATTCGTTGAGAGAATATTATTGGTCAAGACTTAAGAACGATGACTTTGTGAAAAGTGATAACCATCAGTTTCTCTTCCACTATAGTTATATTTTTTCAATATATAAGTATATAAATTTAAACTTGAATAACTCTAAGTCAAACATCAAACACACCACCCACCCATCATCAATGTTCGTTCTTAACCCTAATATTTTTAACACTTTCGGATGTTTTGACATCTATAAAGTAAATGCGTATTTGTGTATGTCGACCAAAATCTTGTGACAAGTGATCTTAAATACATTGCAGCAGCACAATGTATCATATTTTCTGATAATTTTTTTATGCAGATATGTATTTCTACTTTATAGCATGTTGTGAATTGTGAATCGTTCTATTTATTTTATCTTTTTTCAAGAGGGTTTAACTACTTTATTTAAAAGTTAGAGGTTACGGGACAAAACAGAAAAAAAGTAGATGAATAGATGAGCAACAATATCACTAACACATATCTTATTAATTGATGTGTCTTAATTTTTTCACTTAATATGTGTCTTAATTGTACAAACTGCATAATCTATGTGTCTTAATTTTTTCACTTAATTAGTTACTTTGTAACTAAGAAGAAAATTTTGAATATTATTTTGCTTTAAAACCTTTGATTTTCTAATGTCGCTTTAATTAGGATG